CTGTCTCACCCAGGGCAGCAGGCACGATGACTAAACTTGTACCCTGTGTTCCCCTCCTGCAGAAGGATGGCTCTTCTTCACGGGCAATTGTGTAATCACTTCACTGAGGTAGAATTTACATGCCACACAGTTCACCCATCGTGGGCGTCCAGTTCTGTGGTTTTTGTGTATTCTGAGAGTCACCACAGTCACTTCTAGAAACCCAAAAGGATACCCCAATCCCATTAGCTGTCACCCTCCAGTCTCCCCCTGTCCTGTGCCACTGTTAATCGGCTTCCTGTCTCTGTGGATCTGCCTGTTCTGATCATCTCCTGTAGACAGACTCCTGCGATATGTGGGCTTTGGTGCCCGACCTCTTTTCCATCCGTGTATTTTCCTGATCCATCCACATTGTAGTACGTGTCAGGGCTTCGTTCCTATCATAGCTGGGTACTGTTCGTGGTATGGATGGGCCCACGTTGTGATTCATCCATCATCCACTCATGGACGTGTGGGGTCGTTTACTGCTTCTCGGCTATTGTGTGACATTTGCGTGCAGGCATTTGGGTGGGTGTACGTTGTCACCTCTCGGGCACATACCCAGGGCAGAATTGCTGGATTGTATAGTAACGGTTTCCCTGTGTTCCAAAGCGCTGTGCCATTTTGCCTTCCCACCAGCAGTTTCAGAGTGTTTCACGGCGTGATGCCCCCACCTAGATGTAAGAAAGCCGCTGCACGAGGGGGCTCGAGGCCTCCCTGCACCAGCGGGCAGACCCTGGGTGGCCGGCGTTTCAAGGGTGCCCAGGATTCGTTGTGACCAGGTGTGGTAAGGTGCGCAGCCAGAGAAATGATGCTGTGAAGGGAGGAGGTGGTGCTCACAGATCCCTGGCAGCGGGAGGCAGGGCACACCGTGCAGGGCCGCACACGGAAGCCCCAGGGTGGGTCAGGAGGGAGGTGGGCACATGCAGCAGGAGCCTGCCTCGTGGTTCCACAGGGAGGGGCAGGTGAGGCAGGTGAGCAGGCTTAGGACCGGCTGGCGTGAATAGTCCCAGCGGGCGCTAGGGTGACTAGGGCAGGGGACAGGGGCCTGGGGCGTGAGGGCCCCAGAAGGAGGAGGCCGGGTGTGGGCTCTGGGTCGGCTGATCTGCACGTTGGCGGTGCTCTGAAGAGAGCCCTTCAGTATGTCTAGGAATCCCCCAGCCCTGGGAGGGACAGTCCCTCCAGCATCTGCACGGGCCCAGATGTGACAGCAGCAAACATGGAGAGCAAAAAATCATGTGGAATACAGCTGTTCTGTGGCAGTGGCATGGCCACTGACTCGTGTCCTGTTCAGGTAGTTGTTCCTTGGCTGCGTAAGTCACAGAAAGACTGGGTGGGTGATTGTCTACCCTTATTGTAGAAGTCTTAAGTAGCTTGAAGAAGAGGAGTCCAGTCAAAGGGAAAAAGGATAATTTACTCTTGGGTCACATTGCCACTAAATGCACACCATGATGCTTTTCTGTAAGACGTCCCCCCAAAATAGGCCATCTCAGATACTTTTTGGAAGTACGTGTGTAATAAGTTATAAAGAAAAAGAGTATCAGTGCTCTAAGAACAGAACGGTGTGCCTGTGAACAAACAAGGATGTTCTTCCAAAATATAATAACCTCTCCTCAAACAACTTCTTTATATACAGTCCATTCTTGTTATTCACAGATTCCATATTTGCAAATTCAGCTATTCACTAAAAATGTCTTTGCAACCTCCAAATTAGTATCTGTGGGGCTTTCAGACATGTGCAGTGAAAAATATGAGTCACTCAACATGCGTGTCCCCAGCTGAGGTCAAACAGGTGACACGCTGCCTTCTTGTTTCAGCTTGTACTATAAATAAATGTCCTGTTTGCAGTGTATTTAATGCCATGTGTTTTGCATTTCTGTGCCATTCATTGGGGATGTGGTTGTGTGAGACAGGCCCTGAGCATTGTGCTGAAACACTGTCTGGCATCCCTAAGAATAAGAAGTGCGTGATATGCCTTATGGAGAAGATGTGTATATCCGATTCACTTCTTCAGGCACGAGTTATGGTCCCTTGGCTGTGAGTTCGGTGATGGTAAATCGACAGTATATATTAACTAAGGTGTCTTTCCATAGAAACACACACAAAGCAAGACAGTACTATACTGATGGGCTGATGAAGGTACACCCAGAAGCTCAAGGAACCTGACCTTGTATTTCCCCCAAGGGCAGTGATTCAGTATTCACTAATTCTGCATTCACTTGGACATTATTAAACATCACTGCGGATGATGAGAATCCACTGTAACTTCTTATTTTGAAACAGTCTCAGACCCAAAAGAAGTTGCCAAAGTAAAATTGCCTCCCAGGTACTGAGTACTGCTCACCAGGCATCCCCCAGTGATATCGACATAACCACAGTCCATTGTCAAGACCAGGAACCGGCATCCCACAGTATCACTGACTCGGGCACAGACCCTGTTTGGATCGCGCCTGTTGCTGGATGCCCCCTGGGGAGGGGAAGGGGAGCGTGTGTAGTTCCCGGAAATCTCACCCCACATCCAGATTCCGAGTAACCACCACCACAGTCAAAAGGCAGAACTGTTCTGTCACCCCAAAGAAAAATAATTTTTTTTAAAAAAACCTGTGGTAACATGTGCATAAACATAAAATTGACCATTTAACCATTTTTAAATGTCCAGTGACATTAATGCATTGACGTTGTCAGGCAGCCATCCCCACCCTCCATCTCTAGAACTTTCCATCTTCCCAAACTGAAACTCTGCCCTGTGAAACACTAGCTCCCCATCTTCCCCCAGCCCCTGGTCCCCACCACCCACGTTCTGTCTCTGTGGATGGGGCTCCTGTAGGGACCTCCCAGGAGAGGGTCAGACGGGATCTGTCCTTCTGTGTCGGGCTTATTCACTGTGCACAGTGTCCTTCCTTTATGTGGCTGAATCATATTCCACGGAACAATGATTTCTTGACCTGTTTTGTGGGAGACGCTGTCCTCCACTCTCCTGAGGGGACAGACAGTAGTGAGAATAATTATATCGTGTGTTAGAGGGGGCTGGCTCATCATTCTTTTAACCGAAATCCTATCCCCTTTGAGCCCAGTGATAGCTGGTGTCCCTAATCATGGCCCTTAGACAAGAGAATCTCAAACATCAAGGGAAGGTTTAAGTCTGTTTAACATAGATTCAGCGTTACCCATCATTAAGATTCTTTGGAACTGGTGTTTATAGTGACTTTTCTTCCATGGACTGATTGATTGAAGCAGAATCCACCATACTTCAGATTAGACCTCGGATCACGGGAACAATCTGTCCAGCATGCCAGGATGCCAGGCAAAGGACTCATTTCAGGATTTGTCCCATATTTGCACACTCAGGTCATGATTGCCTGGGTGAGGTTTAGCACGGTGTAGAAATGTCTGGAAGTGTTTTCCCTAGACTCCAGAGCCCTTGAATGATTGTTTTCACCCTTGTAAATCTGTGTTTGTGTCCGAGTGACATCCTGTCACCAGTGTCTGCTATGACAGTAGTCATCGTGAGCCATTTAAGGTCATGATGTCGGGATGTGTGAGGGTCGTTGACCCTCACGGTGCTGAGCTGTGTTAAAAACGAATAGCTATGGATAATATATGATCTGTGTCACTGGCCTCATGGCTGTACGTGGGTACGGGCCAGCTTACGCGCTTCCTTCATTATTCCTCTACCAGGAATTTTTTCTCTGACACATACCCACCTGCACATTTGTGACCACCTTAAATTTCCCCTTAAAACTCCCTCCGAATGCTGAATGCCACTCCCCAGAGAAGCTCAGGTGGCTGGCCGCTTGCCCCCCTCAAGAGTTACAGTCACTGCACTGCTGAGAACCAAAGTCCCAGCTGCTGGCGTCTTGTGACCGAGAAACTGGAGGGTGGGTGGCTTGGCGCCCCAGACAGGAGCCAGGCACCCAGGCTGCCGGGCAGATTTCCTCTTCCGGCTGCTGCCCGTCCCAGGAGCTGAGCTTCCTCCAGGATCGTTTTCACCCAGAGAATAAATTAGCCAAGCACCCCATCCCCACTAGAACTAACTTAAATAATTGGCTTGGCAAATGGGAGGAGGAAAATCAGCCTAATTAATGATAGTTTGGCTTTCTAAGAGTTTCAGCGGCGCATCAGTGGGTAAGGTAGCCAGAGTGTCACGCATCCTAGTATCTCAACTCTTAGGTTAATGAGCAGATGAAAGCAGACAGCCCTTTAGAGCATGTTAAGGTGCATTACAATCACCATATACAGTAGGATCGGAGCCTCTTGTCCACTTTGGCGGTCAAGATTCTGCTAGAGGGCTGATACGCAGGGGCGTGTGCCTGCAGCTAATCATCATGCCCTGTGCTCTCCAGGTCTCGGAGTCAGCCCGACACCCGATCGCCGGTTAATTACAGTTGTGTGTGTGCGTGCGAAGGGGCACCAGCCACACCAAGCACAGAGCTCCCTGTTCTGTGGTCTTGGGTTCTTCACAGTGAATGTAAACTACCCTCTGCTTCTTACCCCCTGCCAAGACGGAAAGGGTGTCTGGGGACTTTTTTGCTGTTGTTTTACCAAAGGACAAAGTACTGGGCGATTTCCATACTAAACGGTCACAGTGGGGAACAATTTCCTGCCCTGCAGACCCGCTGCTTCAGCCAATACAGTAAGAGAAGACGCAGCTTTACATTTCTAGAAGGATCACAGGGAGATATAAAAAGGGCGCAGTGGCGCCACCGAGCTGGGTTCCAGCGCCCCGGCAGTGGCCATGGGGAACACGCATTCTAAAGGCAGCCACAGGGACTGCGGGCTGCCCAGCCACCCAGAGCTGTCTTTCTATGGCTCTTGCCCTAGAAAATGGAGCGAGAATGTCTTTCTAGATAACGAGCTGCTGACCTCCAAGATACTGTCCGTGCTGCGGCCCCAGGCGGAGCAGGGCTTCCGGACGGGGACGGGCCACCTCCGCTACCCTGCCCACTTTCTCAGCACCAACTCTGTCTTTGCCTCTGTTGCAGCATCCCTGAAGGAGCAGCTGAGGGCCACCCCCTTGTCTAATGGCAGCCCGGCCCTATCCAGGAATGTCGGCATGACGGTCTCACAGAAGGGGGGTCCACAGCCAGCACCCAGCCTGGCGGGAACGGGGACGCGCCTTGGGTGAGTCTGGTCCTCTCTCCACCACCAGATGTGGGTGAAGGGAGACAGTGGAGTGTGGCTCCACAGGGCTGTGGACAGCACCCCCGAAAGGAGCCCCTCCAGTCCGCGGGAGTCTTTGCGAAGGCCCCCAAGCAAGGGGTGAAATTCTCATTAACCCTTGCATCGGAGAGTCATTCATTGCCCATCTTTTTTCAAACACGGCGTGTGCTGGGTGTTCTTGGTCCTCTGGTGCCGGTTGGCTTTATACTCTCAAAGGGACCCCTGGACGGGGCTCCTTTCTGAGCTCACGATGATTCGAGAAGTTCCGCTGAGGTTGCCATGGAGGTAGATCCCGTTATGTATGCCTTCACCTGTGTTCAAGGACTTAGAGGTTGTTTTTTTAATATTGCCATCAGCAGTGTGTGGGTGGAAAGCCTGGCGCTCTAAGCAGCGGCGCTCTGGCAGTCCTTCTACCAGTCGGTGGGGATGGGAGCTGATTATCTTTTTCCTCTAAGAGGATTCTCCCTCCCCCTTCACCGTGAGTGACGCTGTGTCCCCCTAGTCCCCCTAACTCGCTGGAAAGAATTCCAGGGGCTCCAGTGGGCTCCAGTGGCCAGTAAACATCCTATTAACCCACCGCTAGATTGTTCCTGAACAGTAAATTAAAGGTAGTCATGAAGGAAGAAGTTCTGGTGGTAATTGGCAGGTGATCTCCTATCTAAAATGACCTGTGACAAAATTAAGGCTTATATTGAAATCTGGAAAGGGCTCACATAGTAGCTCATCAGATTGAGTAGCAATCTGATTTGCTTTCATAGAATGGATGTGTGTGAGTGTGCATGTGTCCGTGTGTGATGCAGCTCTTTGAAATAATCATTTGCATGGTTTTTATTTAGACCAGTCACAGGAGAGATGGATGAAGCCGACTCTGTATTTCTAAAATTTAAGCAGGCAGCTGATGACTCTCTCTCGCTCACATCTTCAAATACCGAGTCCGTTTTTGTAGAAGGTACAGTCCTCCTCTCAATTCTTCCGTGGCTCTCGCATAGTGTCCACCCACCCCGGGAAGAGCTGGGACCCTCATCAGTGTGTCCGCCCAGCGCGGGCTGGGGCGGCCCAGAGCCCACCCTAATCCAGCCCCCCAGCAGCAGTCTCTTGTCCTTTCCCCAGACCCCTACGCTGCCTCGCTGAGGAGTGAGATCGAATCAGATGCCCACGAGTTCGAGGCAGAGTCCTGGAGCCTCTCTGTGGATGCCGCGTTCGCAAAGAAACAAAGCAGGGAGGCGGTGAAGAGGCAGGATGTGCTTTACGGTAAGACGGCCCGCCCGCCACGCCAGCCTTCCCCTCCTGGAGCGGGTCGCGGCAGGCCACCACGAGACCCGGCCACACAGGCCCCTGCAGGCCCCTGGGCCCCTGTAAGTGGGATGACAACCTGAGGCCGTTCTCTCCCCAGTGACCTTGCTTGTTTTTCCTGTGATCCTTCCCCCAAGACTGACTGAGGAGGTGTTTTCCTCCCTCGGCTTTTTGGAAGGAGATTCTGACGTAGAAGCATCTTCACTCTTCAGCCCACTGCCCGGGGGTGTCCACGGGCACCCACCTCCTTACACGTGTCGCACACGGAGCTCTCTGCCGGGGCCAGAACAGGCTGGAGTGTGGGTGGGAAGGAGAACCAAATGGACACCTCCCCTCAGGGCCCCTGGGCCAGGCCCGGGAACCCACTGGGAGGGACACTTCTGGATGCTTCCACTGGGCAGTCCTGCGCCATACTGTCTTGCCTGCTGTGCAAACAGACTGCTTCCAGCCTCCTTGGCTGGGGCCCTGGGGTCGCTGCTGTTGGCCTTTGGTCTCTTCACAGCTTCAAGGCCTTGACTTGAATGACAGTTAAAGTCCAACACAAAACCCAATGTTTCTTTGCATTAAACGAATTAAAATCCTCACTTTTTCATCAGTTATAGTCTTGGGTCCTCTGGGCATAAAACCCTCCTGTGAATTTGAGGTCCCAGCACATATCCTGGGTCCTCTCCTTCCTGACGTCACCCTACCCCTTGCTGTTCCCTTAAGGTGGGACCCTGCAGCACCGGTCGGGGTGGACAGGAGGCCTGGCCCCTGGGCAAGAGGCTCTCGGGTGAGGACTGAGAAGCCAGCCGGGCACAGGGTGGTAGACAGTGCATATGTGGGACATGGGAGCCAGCTCAGTCAGTGCACTCATGTCCCCGCAGAGCTGATGCAGACCGAGGTGCACCACGTGCGGACGCTCAAGATCATGCTGAAGGTCTACTCCAGAGCCCTGCAGGAGGAGCTGCAGTTCAGCAGTAAGGCCGTCAGCCGTCTCTTCCCGTGCGCCGACGACCTGCTCGAGATGCACAGCCACTTCCTCTCTCGGCTGAAGGAGCGTCGCCAGGAATCACTGGAGGAGGGCAGTGACCGGAATTACATCATCCAGAAAATCGGGGACCTCCTAGTCCAGCAGGTGGGCACAGCGGGGACGAGCACAGGGCCTGGCCCAGCCCTGCCCCGTCTCTGTTCCTGGCAAGAATGAAGAACACAGCCCCTGCTCACTGAGCGCTTGTTCCACAGAGAAGGGGGGTCCTGGGCCCTCATGGGTGAACACAGCCAACAGTCTACGTACAAACACGGAGGCCTAAAACCAAACACATTTGTCCAAACACGGTCCAGTATTATGATCTGGGTTGGTTGGCTGGTTTGGTTTTTGGTTTTTGGTTGTTTTCTTTTGTCTGTTTTGACTCCTGTGTCTTTTAACTGCTAGACGCGTACCTGTGGACCAACGCCATCTGTGGTTTGGTTAGCGGCGTTGACCTTGAGCTGGCTTCTGCACCACCTTCTGAGGCCCCGCTGAGATGGATGGGTTGGGGGGGGACGCATAACCCAGCCCCTGACCTCAGGGTGCCCCAGGCCCCCTGAGTCAGCTAATAAGAATTGATTAGAAGAACACCCCTATTGCTTTTACATTTTTCTGACAGTCTCCCGCCTAAATTTACTTCTCCCTCTCGGGCTTCAGGAAGTTTGCTAGCATCCCGGACGTAGTAAAGCCCACTAGCAGGAAGTTGTATCCCTTTTCCAGTGCTGCACCTTGCCAAGACATCCCGTCCCAAAGCCTCTTTCTGAGTATCTGTTACAGAGGAAAGAAATCACAAATTTCAAAACATGTTTCAGCGCAGTCAGATGAGCCCTGGCAGTTTTCATGTTTCTTTTCAGTGACATCTCTGCTATCTTTCTAAAGTTTTCAGGTGAAAATGGGGAGAGAATGAAAGAAAAATATGGGGTCTTCTGTAGTGGCCACAACGAGGCGGTCAGTCATTACAAGTTGCTGTTGCAGCAAAACAAAAAATTTCAAAACCTGATCAAGGTAAAAACAGATTTTTTTTCTTTTTTTTTCTTTAAGTAAAAAATGTATCCTCTTTGCTGTAGGTCTTTTTCTGACAGAACTGTAGACTTTTAGAGAGTTTGGAATTTTAAGTACCTGCCATAAACCAGTGATTTTCAAGGTTTTGTTTCATGTTTAACCACAGACTTGTTCAGGGCATGTAAGCGAGATTTCCTGGAAAATCCCAAGGTATAAAAAAGCAAAGCCACACAGACCTGGGCTTTATCCTCACCCCTGTGGGGTGGTGTCTGAGGTGCCCCTGCAAGCCCTGGTGTGGAATGGCCATCGTTAAGGTGACACAAGGGCCATTTCAGGGGGCTGCCCTGCCCTGGGAACCACCCCTAAAGCCACCTTTGACTGCTCGGCTGGTAGGAGACATGCCTTATTCTAACCCTTTGTCCCCTCTTGCCTTGTGCCCTCTTTGGTCCCCGTGGCCTGTGGACTGACCCACACTTGTCTCCCACCTAACAGTGTGCAGGCACTTACAGCCCAGAACCAGAAGTGCTTCACCCAGCCTGGGCCGGCCAGATGCGGCGAGGCGCCACCTCCCGCTCCCTAAGGAGCATGCTTGGTTCGGGCCACTGGGCTCTGTCGGCAGCTCCGGCCGTCCTCTTGCCCCTGAGGGCTTTGTTCTGAACGGATATGAAGAACTGACCAAGTAGAGTTAAGAGTGACTTGTTTTGAAGTGCCCCTGCATCATAACTGCAGTGGGTAGATGGGAAAGGCAGGGTCACATTGGGGCCTGAATTCATCCGACAAGCCTCAGGCCAGGCCACCCGACATCAGAGCCAGAGACACATAGCTGGCGAGAGGGTTCCCCTGAGACAGGAGGAAGCAGAGACGGGGCTTAGTCCCCCACATCTCACGGCCCCGCGGCACTCCTGGCTCCTCAGAAGCGGCCCTCCGATGGCTGGCGTTTTTGAAATGTGCTCGAGAGCTGCAGGAGCAGAAACCAGAATGTGTGGTGTGCCCTGGAAAGCACCACCAGGGAATGGCTTCGGGCTCCCACTTCCAGTTTGTGGCCAGAGGTGTGCCTCAGAAGCCATCAGGGAGCCGGGTCAGAGTTCTCGGGGGCTCCGGCAGCCCCTGGGGGGGGCAGGGCCTTCGTGTGTGTATGCGTGCATTACTGATACAGCTCACAAGGGAGTTCCCGTAACCACCCTCTGGCTGGTTCTGGTTCCTTGTTAACCACTTTTGCGGGCCCTGGCCTCCAACGGGGGAAGCTGCCTTTGCTTTCATGGCCTTCCCGTATACAGCAGGCAAGCCCTGCTTTCAAGTGTCCAGTGACGCAGTAAAGAAAAGGCCCTGGTGAGCGACAAGGAAGGAGCCCCCAGCTGATTTGGCAGAAGACAGGGTGTCAGTACAGCATGTTTGGTTTTGTTTCATAGAAAATCGGCAACTTTTCCATCGTGAGGCGGCTTGGCGTGCAAGAGTGCATTCTGCTGGTCACTCAGCGCATAACCAAGTACCCCGTGCTGGTAGAGCGCATTATTCAGAACACGGCAGGTACGGTAGCATCCGCCCTTGCCCCTCAGTGCCTTGGGGGTGGGCTCTGCCTTCCTGCCCCGTTTAAGCCATGGATCCACTAAATGTCTGTCTGTGCCCCGTCCCTGGTTCTCTGGGTTCCGCTGGACTCAGTCTTCATTAACTGAGCTGTCATCGTGAAGAATCCACAGGGCTGGGTGCTGGGGTTTCTCATTTGGAAAGATGGGGTGCCAGGTCTCATTTGCCTGCTGTTACTACCCCCAGCCCCTGGCACAGGCTGGGCTATAGCTGGCCCTCAGCCAGGATCTGGGGAGTGGATGGTGAGGGTGAGCCAGAGAGGCACAGAGATGACCTCTGGGTCACACACGTGGAGCCCGTGGAGGGCAGAGGAGAGAGGGCATGCAGCCCGGCCAGGAGCAGTGCCAGCCACCCGTCCTACATGCACAGGGGCTTTGGGACATGGGAGAATGAGCAGATTGCCCTGCCACAAAAGCCACGTCCTAAGAGCCAGGAGAGGAGCCAGGTCTTGGTGACTGCAGGAGGTGGAGGCCGTCTTTACAGAGAGCTGGGGAGCGCGGGAGCATGCTGACCAAGGAGTGGCGGCAGTTACGCGGGGCTGTTTCTGTCACTTGAATCACCCCATGGCTTCTGCATTCAACAGAGGCTCTTAGCAAAAACCAAACTCCAGGCTGTTGCATTTATTTTGGAGAAGTGTTTATATCCCAGAAGACTGGAGTTGGAAGGTGGTTCCTGAGGGTCTCCTGAGCAGTGGCCTCGGGACGTGCCTCCCAGGCCACGTAGTTTGTCCACTCCTCCACACGTGCGAGCTCGGGCAAGGGAAAGCGCTAACTTTGCTGTGTGTGGTAGCTGGCACCAAGGACTACGAGGACCTGATGCAGGCCCTGAGCCTCATCAAAGACATCATCTCACAAGTGGACGCCACGGTCAGCGAGTGCGAGAAAGGCCAGCGCCTCAGGGAGATCACAGGCAAGATGGACCTGAAGTCCTCCAGCAAGCTCAAGAACGGGCTGACCTTCCGCAAGGAGGACATGCTGCAGCGGCAGCTCCTCCTGGAGGGCACACTGTGCTGGAAGACCACGTCAGGGCGTCTGAAAGGTAAAGCCCTGCCCCAGGCCCCTCCAGGGGCGCCGCCCCGGGGTAGTAGGCGCCTCCGGATTGGAGGGTGCCAGCCGACACAGAGCCCCTGCAGCCTGGCTGCCTCTCAGCTGAAGGGTGAACGCAGGCGGCCAGGGAGCGCAGTGAGAATGACAGGCAGGCCAGCACTCTCGCCCTGGTCTTTGAGATGGTGTGTGTGTGCACCAGGCGGGCCGCTAGGTGAGGAGGGCACACTGAGTCTTGGCTTCTGAGCAGAAACCCCAGGCATCTTGACACCCCAGATTTCGCAGAGGTCCCAGGATTTCTAGTCAGGTGGCAGTAGGTCCAACCCCTGAAGGGCCCCAGTGTGGGTAGATGGCACCACCCAAACTGCCGGCCTGTGTCCCCAAGCACCCCACTCGCTGCTCGGGGTGTCCTCAGAGCTCCACTTTCAAGTTCTGTGGTGCAGTTTAGACAGACCAGAAAGCATGCAGTCCTCAGTCCTGAGTTTCTTGCCCATTTCGTGAGCTCCTGAAAACATCCTTACCTGTCTGTCAGCGTCAGCATCCTCAGAGGCCTTCAGGGATGCTCGAGACGGCCAGGTGCCCAAGTGTGCTCACCGTGATTTGCACAGGCAAGCCCCCAACAGGTAGGATCCAGCACCCAGCTGGGCAGTGGGAGGCCCCAGCCCTTGTGGGGCTGCAGTCAGGCCAAAAGAGAAACTAAACTGAAACACAGTTGAAAGCACAGTCAGTGCTTTAGAGGACGCCAGCCGGCGGCAGTGTGAAAATTCCACAGAGTGGCCGTCTTCTAGGTCGTGGTGGCCAGAAAAGCTTCTGTGGAGGGAGTACTTGTGCTTTCTGAGACATGAGCGCTCCTGGCGCACATTCAGTGCAGGACTGGCACCTGCGTGCCAAAGCTCTGCCGTGCGGTCGCCCCAAGATGCGCCTACAGGCCTCGGGTATCATACCAGTAGGAGGCGGCGTCCAGCTGCCCAGGTCCCAGGAAACCTGGGAGCAGGAAGAACCGAGAGGTGAATGAGTTCACAGTCCAGAAACCAGAGCAACAGAATCTCAGAGACCAGACTCAGCAGGCACGGGGACAGGAGAGGCGCAGGGACAGGAGAGGCGTAGGGCAGTAGGCCCCAGAGGGACCTCCAGGTGGAGACGGGCTGTTGACTGGTGTCAGATGTTGAAACCCGGAAGGTGGCGGGCAGGGGTGGGGTAGAGGAAGCCCTCGGCTCATGCGGCAGCGTGCTGGTGCCAGGCTGAGAGTGAGCAGGACGCCGTCGGGGCATCTGAGGCCGCCTGGGTGACCACATTCCCCCTGGGTGTCTCTCCTGTGCTTTCTCGTAGATGTTCTTGCTGTCCTGCTGACCGATGTGCTTTTGCTGCTTCAAGAAAAGGACCAAAAATATGTCTTTGCTTCCGTGGTGCGTAGCCTGTCCCTTCAGGCGAGGGTCCCACTCGCCGGAGCTTTAGGGGGTTGCTCTAAAGCCACCTGGGCAGAGGGCGCTGAGTGGAGGGGCAGCCGGGGCCAACTCGACATTAGGGAGCAGTGCAGCAAGGCGGTGAGCAGAGCGCCTCTGTGAGCGACCCTGCCCCGGGCCAGAAGGTTCCAGAAGGCAGGACTAGCACTTTCTGAGCACTGGGGTCCCCACCGGTTGCCTAAGATGGTCTCAGCCGCCTGCTGACACCCTGTCAAGTCCCAGCCTCTGCATGTGCGTGGCTCTTCCTCACGCGAGCGTCCCTGCCAGGAGAACCTTCCTTCCTTCTCCGCTGGCTCATCGCTGGGGCCCCGCCCTGTGAGCCACGACCGTGTTGACCCCACAGCATGATGGTGCCGGGACAGCCTGGTCACGCGAGCCAAGCCCGGCCATCGGTGGGGCCAGCTCCTCCCCAGGCCTGTCCTTGGCGTGTACACAGCCGTCCTCTCACATCCTCACACTGTCGCCCCGGGTGCGTCTGTGTCTGTGCTCCTCCTCCTGGATCTGGGCCACCCTAATGACCTCGTTTTATCTTAATCACCTCTCTATAGGCCCTGTCTCCAAATACACTCACATTCTGGGGTCGTGGGGTTAGGATTTGGGGTGGGAGCACAATTCCACCCGTTAAAAGCATGCATTTCACTGGTCTGTCAGAGCACTCTGTCCTGCAGGGTCGCAGCACATGGGGAATACCGGTCGGCTCTGGGGGCGCAGGCCATAGGGCCGGGGCGAAGGCTTGTCCTTCGTTCCATACCACCTACCCTTGCGTCCCTGCAGTTCTGTGTGATGCTCATGTGTTCCTGATCATAAGACACCTTTTTTAAACATGTTAGACACATGAAAAGGATGTAAGTCTATTATTGCAATAGTGTCTGTTTTCCCCAGATGGCAAAATACCTCTGCTTTTATTCACGTGAACGTAAATGGGGCGCACACACCCCTCCTGGGCCCCTTCCCCCGAGATGGTGGTTCCGCAGTGGTGCCGATGCGGCGGGCAAAGGGTGACCCTCCCCGCCACGTTCTCCCTGTGCAGGACTCGAAGCGCCCTGTCATCTCACTGCAAAAGCTCATTGTGAGGGAAGTGGCCAACGAGGAGAAAGCCATGTTCCTGATCAGCGCCTCGCGCCAAGGGCCCGAGATGTACGAGATCTACACCAGCTCCAAGGAGGAGAGGAACACCTGGATGGCCCACATCAGAAGGGCCGTGGAGAGGTGAGGAGGGCCATGTGTGCGGTGGCCTCCAGCAGCAGATTTGCCCTTGGCTGTGACGGTGGGCAAACCAGCAGTGACCTGAGAGCGCCAGAGGTCACAGGACCCCTCTGCCTCTCCTCTGCCTCGCTGCACGCTGGTGCAGTGTCCCTCCCCTCCTCTACACAGAACACCTCCACTCCAGTTCCTTCCAGCAGCTAGCCGCTCAAACTGTCGGATGGAAGAGGGCCCAGGGGATGTGGAACCAGGCAGTCCCAACCTTCCATGTTGGTGGGATGTCCCACTTGATGGGGGTTCTTCCCCTGCCCCCCGCGTGGGACCAGAGCTGTTAGAGCAGGTCTCCGCGTCCTGTGCTTCCTGCCCCGGCCAGGGGACCACTCTCAGGCCCCCAGCCCTGTGGCTCTGCATGCCCTGTGCCCCCGCCAGACGGGAAGGTGGTCCGGCCCCCACGCCCAGTCAGCCTGCTTAAACCGGGAAGCTCCCCAAAGCCTTAGCCTTCTCAGAGCTGCCCGGTACTCAGCCCCAGCTCTGCTGGGCTTGCAGCCTCCCCTCCCTGGCCAGTCCCCAGTCTCCTGCAAGTGGTGGTCAGCAGCCCACAAGGCGTGCTCGCCCATCTGCCTGCTCTCCCCGCAGCTGTCCAGACGAGGAGGAGGGGCCCTTCAGTGAGGCGGAAGAGGAGAGGAAGGCAGTCGAGGCCCGCGCCATGAGGCTTCGGGACTTCCAAGGTGAGGGGGAGTCAGTCCGGGCCTCTGTGCCCACAGCGTGTGCTGTGTATGGCAAGATGGCCCCTCAGAGCACCCCAGAGGCCCTGGGGCCACCAGCTGCCTTTCTATTCTGTCCCATCAACATCGGCCGTGGTGCACATCACCACCCAAGCCACCAGGCGTTTGCTATCCACTGTCCGGTGCCCTGCAGTTCTGCAGGGTGTTGAGAGCTGAGCTTTGTCACAAGGTCGTGATCTTCCAGGGCAGGTGAGGGAAAGAGAGAGGGTGGTGCTCAGGGCTCCTGAGCCCCTTCCAGAGATGATGGTTGTGCCGTGCACACTGCCCCCTCCCTCGGTCCTCACGCAGGGAAGAGCTCGCCAAGGGCGTCCGTGACCCTCAGAACCCACCAGGCCCTGTAAGAGCACGAGAGCCCCACAGGCACTGTCTAGGGCCAGGCCGACCCAGACCAGCCCTCGCTCTGCAGCCCGGGACCTTGGCTTCCCCCTCCCTGTCGGGTTTTTTTAACCACCTCATTGAGATACAATTCACACACTGTCCAGCTCAGCAGTCGGCCCCACCATCCATTGTAGACCATTTTCTTCATCACCCCAAAAAGAAACCCCATCCCTGTTAGCTGTCACTTCACATTCCTCCCTCCGCCAGCCCCGGGTAACCGCTCGTCTTACTTTATCTGTCTATGAATTTGCCTGTTCCGGGGGCCTCAGAACGGGAATCATGCATCATCTGTCCTTTGTGTCTGGCTTATTCCGCTTTGGTGATGTTTTCATCGTCCAGCCATGTTGCAGCAGGTGTCAGAATGTCCTTCCAGTCGAGGCCCGCCACTGTTCCACTGGGTGGATACACCGCTCTGTGCTTATCCATGCTCCTATTTTCAAGATTCCCACGAGATTGCAATGAAATCATCGCCAAGAACGGTCCCTAGCGCGCCGTGGTCCCACCTCTCCCCTTGCCTCTCACTGACTGTAATTTTTTTCTAGATGAGGTAACATTTGCACATCAGGTAGTATGTATTTTACTTCTCTTTATGAGGAAAGGTGCAATACTGAGGCTATTAATTAGTAAAAATGTCCATAAGGGGTGGTGGTGTCCCACAGACCCCGGAAGCACAGCGCTAACCCGGTACTCATCCTGTTTCTGCCACATTGTGATAAAATACCCTCCCTGCACAGATGGAGGGGACCGCCCAAACCGTAATATCTATCTGTGCCTCATTCCTGCCAAGATTCTTAATGAATTAGAAATACACGTTCTCTTTATCAAGATACTCTTCCCCACCTGGGATCCAAAGCCAGTCTTATCCCTCATATTGGAAAGTCGGGGACCCTCCCGTCAAAATCAGAGCGAGGCGAGGACAGGATCATCTCCATCCTGGAAGCTCCAGCTTTTGGGGGAAATGGAGAAGACAGAAAAAACAGAAGTCAGTTCTCATGATTGAAAGGGAGGTGACAGAGTTAGTTTTTGGAGGTAACGTGATCATTTGCCTGGAAAATCCAATAGATTGAACTGGAAAATCATTGCCGATGGTAAGAGAGCTCGTAAATTTAGCTGAATGGGATGTGTATAACTGTATAAATGGGATGTGTATAAATGAAAAAGTCCAGTACAATAGTCACAGTTATGGCAGCAAAAATCAGTGTACAACTCATAGACTTGCAGGGAGTTTGGCCTAATTGCCTAAAGGAAGACTTTTGAGATTAGAAAACTTAAGTCTTATAAGAATCTCGTTTGTCCCAAACGAATAAATCAACCTGTGAGGAGCGCACAGTCCTTCCTAAGCCCCACTGAGTTTGATTCCTACAACCCGGGAGAAGCTACGAGCAGACAGGGCCGTGGCCTCACCGCCCCCCGGGAGCATTGACCAAGGGGAGCAGTCAGCCTCAGGGCAGAGGGATGGGGGTGTGAGCGGGGGTCCCCAGGGCCGGTGCCTGGGGGAGAGGATCCCAGGGAAGGCCGACCCCCAACCCTGCCCCACCCCCTGTCACTTTACAGAGCGATTGAACCTGAAAGACCAGCAGATCGCACAGAGCCTGAGCGAGAAGCAGCAGATCTACCTGGAGATGGCCGAGATGAGCGGGCCGGAGGACCTGGCTGGCTCTCGGCTCCTCTTCCGCGGAGGAGAGCCCCCCGAGAACCTGCACGGGGAGCTGATCCTCAAGTCGGCCATGACCGAGAGTAAGCAGCCAGCCTGGGAGCGCTCGCTGGCCACTAGCCCACCCCAGTGCCACAGGTCTGCCCGGGTGGGCTCCTCAGGGGTCCCTAGGCTGGGCACATGGCCTGGTGTGGCCAACTCGCTGCCCTGCTCGCCAGGTGTTTTTTAAGCCTGGGAACTGTGCTCACACACACACACACACACCCCACCCCACCCCCACCCCCTTGGCACCTGCTGGAACCAAGAGGTCCTCAGGCACCATGAGGCACAAATCTTAACACCTCTCACATTCAGCCAACACTGCTACGTGCAGGGCGTAACGCTGGGCCCCTGGGGTCTGAAGCTGGCCACGACAGCCTCAGAAGGTCCCTTCTTGCTGAGAGGCAAGTCAGGGATGACATCCCAGAGAAGGTGCGCACGCACGCATTTGGTGGGTCCACTCAGAGGGCCCCGAAACCCAGCAGCCCTCCCAGGAGCTGGGCCTGGAACCCCGAAGCTAGCAGGAAGAGGCTTCTAAGCACCAGCAGCCACAGGAGGGCGCCAGCCAGTAAGCGGCCTGTCCTCCATGCCCTGCCGCCCGGCCTGCCTCACAAGAGCTGTGTCCTCACCAGAGGCCCTGGCAGCCTCCACACAGCTGCCAAGCCCCCGGCCAGGCCAGACAGTCCCACCCGGCAGGTCTCACCCTGCAGCCGGCACTGCTCTCAACAGCAGATGAGACGGGCAGCCCCTGCCCTTCGGAACAGGGGTCCCACATAGACTCGGCTCACATGGTCTTGTTCCCTCTGGCTCCACCGACCTGCTTCCTCCCGTTTGTCCAGTGGCCATCGTTCTAGGCCCCCTGAGGACGCTGCATCCTGTGCCTTGGCCTGGAACATTCTCTCCATCTCCTCACCCGGCCAAAGCCTGCTTGCCCTAGAGCACTTTGTGTGACCGGCCTGCCCCCAAGGCCACCCTTCTGTGGCCCCTGACCCATGTGAGCACCAGCACACGCACTGGCCACCCCCAAGTGCCCTACTGGGCCCAGGTGCCTGAGCGCCCCTCCCAGTAGACACGGGTCTGCATGTCCTGGTGGCCATACCTGAAGGCAGGGAATGCACAGTGAGCCAGGATTTAGTCCCCATCAGGTGATCAGGAGGTTTTGATCTACTCCCCACAAGCTCCTCAACCCTGGGTGCTATGCCCCTCCACGCTCTGGCACCTCAGTGTGGTCCCAGGGGTGACTCCGTCCCTCCCATCTCCTTCCCCAGTCGAGGACATTCAGAACCTGATCTGCAGGCGGCTGGGCCAGGCGGAAGACGGGGGCAGCTCTGTGGGCCTGCCGCAGTGGGCAGAGACCTTTGCGGGCTACGACAGCGGGGGCAGCACCAGGGGCAGCACTGGCAAGAGTGAGTGGGGCCCCTCGGGTCCTTGGGGCATTCCCTTCTCATGGCGGCCTTGGCAAAGCCCAGGCCTCTGCTGTGTGGGGTCCTAGTGCTGCCTTCCCTCAGCCATCTGTCAGCCCTGTGGCCGGGGTTCCGGAAACTTCTGAGTGTTGTGGATTGTGTTCTGACAGCAGCATGCAGACCAGCCCCTCCCGCTCCTGGTCTCTGGGTCTCAGATACCATCCCTTCAGCACAGGTCCAAGGGCGGCAGCCCAGACAGCATTTCCTCCCCGGGCCGGGTGGGTGGGGTCCCAGCCCCATGGGACCCACAGTGTCCTCACATGCCTGGCATGGGGTTTTCAGGTGGCACTTTTAAGAAGGTCTCCAGCAACGACCCCAGCCCTCGAGACTGGCAGGGCCCTGTGAGTGGCTTGGACTCAAAGCTCAGCGACACCCCCGGGGCCTCCAAGGAAGCTCCACAGGCGGTACGTGCTTCCTTGAGACATTCCTTGGCTCAGTACAGTGCCACCCGAGCCCTTTCAATTACTGGTAACAAGTGTGAGCAGCCTGTTTGGGTTGTCTAACGTTTCCGGCTTCCCTCAAATAGCAACAGGTGCCGTCCTGTTTTATGGCGAATAGTAACGTGTCAGTCCAGACTGAAGTGCAGGCAGGCTGAGCTCCACCCTCCCGCAGGTCCTGGGAGTGCCAAGGGGCACCTGGGGCGGAGGTGGGGAAGCAGAAGGACTCAGGGCGGTAGCTGCAGGCTTGTCAGTGGGGAAGAGACACCGTGCAAGGGACCACAAGCCTTCAGCCTTCACAGGTGTCCTCATGCCCGCAGGTGCCACACTGGGTACGGTCCCCCTGAGCCCGGCCCCCCACACGGCAGGTCCACGGCGGCTACCTCCTCACCTCCCAGGGACCACCCTGCACACTCGTTTTTCTGACACCAAGACTAGCACAAGCCAAATGACCAGGCAGCGCCTGTCCCATCATAAAGGGGTGGAGGGGGTCATGTCTCTTGTCAATAACCAGTGGACCTGACCCAAGTGGGGTTGGTCCTTAGTTCTTAGTGATTCGACACTTGCCTCCCCAGGTGGAGGCGCCTGGTATGGAGTCTGGCTCCCGTCTGCCCCCTGCCGTGGAGTTGGAGGTAGGCGCAGCTTGTCCCCCGACCCCGACCCGGCGGCTAGCATGCATGCCTGGTCTGGCTCCCTGCCAAGAGCCAGCGTGGGTCTCGCTGTCTCTGCAGCTTGTCCAGCGGATCCAGACACTGTCCCACTTGCTCCTCAGCCTCCAGGTACAGGGGCTTTGTGGGGGCTGTGATTAGCTGCTCGTGCCCTTTCCTGGGCCGTGGGCGTCCGGGCAAGGGCGAGGCTCTCACATCAGCCCCTGCACCTGCAGGCGGTCATCGCCCAGCAGGACAGCTACGTGGAGATGCAGAGGGCCGCCATCCAGGAGCACGAGAAGCAGCTCCGGCTGCAGTCGACGCGCGGGAACGTGCTGCTAGAGCAGGAGCGGCAGCGCAACTTCGAGAAGCAGCGGGAGGAGCTGGTGTGCATGCAGAAGCTGCAGGGCCAGATGCGGCTGGAGCAGCAGCGCTGGGAGCGCGAGCGCCTGCGGCAGCAGCAGGAGCTAGAGCGGGCCGCGGCCCGGCTTCAGCAGCGCGAGAGCGAGTCGCTGCAGCTGCGGGGGCGGCTGGCCCAGGAGCGGGAGGAGCTGGAACAGCAGCGGCAGGCCTACCAGCACGACCTGGAGCGGCTGCGCGAGTCCCAGCGCGCCGTGGAGCGGGAGCGGGAGCGCCTGGAGCTGCTGCGGCGCCTCAAGAAGCAGAACACGGCCCCCGGGGCGCTGCCCCCCGATGCGCTGGCCGAGGTGGGCGCATGAGCACGCGCTCGTGCTGGCGCAAATGAGCGTGCACTGCTGTCAGCGTGCATGCGCGTGACTGGGACCGTGCACGTGCGAAAGCGTGTCTGGCTGTGTGACAGCGTGAGTGCACGTGTGTGTGTGTGTGTGTGTGTGTCTGGGGCACAGGCCGCCTGGCGTAGCTCTACCCCAGCACAGACGCCACAGCTCAGAGCCCTGGCGAGCTCAGCCATAGGTAGGTGGCAGTGGACCCAAAGCCAGGGGGCTGGGCGAGGCTAGCCGCGGGCGCCGCACCAGAGGGGAGCAACTCCTCAGCAGGGCCCCGGAGAAGGGCTTCCTGCAGAAACGACGGTGTTGGACGTGACTTCTGTCCCTCTCTCAGGCCCAGCCCCCAAGCCACCCTCCCAGCTTCAACGGGGAAGGGCAGGAAGGGCCTGTAGCCCTGGCCAAAGTGCCAGGGCCCCGGGTGAGCATGCTGCTGTCAGGCGGCGGGCCTGAGTACGCAGAGCGCCCCGAGGTGGCTCGCCGGGACAGTGCCCTAGCCGACCGGCCAGCCAAGAGTGACGTGCCCATCCAGCTGCTCAGCGCCACCAACCAGATCCAGAGGCAGACGGCCGTGCAACAGCAGATCCCCACCAAGCTGGCCGCCTTCACCAAGGGCGGCAAGGACAAGGGCGGCAAGAGCAGGGGCTCCCAGCGCTGGGAGAGCGCAGGTGAGCAGGGGGCGGGGCCTGGGCGCTCCTGCAGCCCCTCCCGCCGGTGCAGGAGGTTGCTGACCCCTTGTGCCCTGGACTCTGAGGTCCTGTCGTGGGCGGTGTGTGAGACCAGAATGATTTCCTCGTGAGAGTGGAGCACCAGAGCCATTCTCCAGAGGGCACGGGGAGCGTGCAGGCCTCAGCCAGGGGGTGGCCAGCCCCCACCCCTGGGACCACTGGGGCTTGAGGGACGAGGGTCTCTCACTCCAGAGGCCTCTGTGGCCAGAGGTCTCTTCTCCCTGCATCCGGGGCTTCACATCTGGATGGGTTTGTTCCTGGGCAGAAGCGAGGAGGGAGTCGCCCAGTCGGGGCCGTGCTGCGTGCGCCTGGCACCAGGCACCCAGGCTGCACCTTCCTTTCAGGCCCCTTTGACCTGAAGCAGCAGCCGCTGCTCAACAAGCTCATGGGCAAAGACGAGAACGCCTCTCGGAACCGCCGCTCACTGAGTCCCGTCCTGCTTAGCAGCCACAGCCCCCTGCCCACCCCAGGTGAGCCCAGCTCCAGTGGCACGGCCGCCCTCGGCGCCTGGCAGCTGCTGACACCCCAAACCCCTCTCTTCCAGACCCGTGCTTCCCAGCCCTGGGCCCGATCCCGGCTGAGGGCCTCCCCGAGTGCCTCTCCCCCAAGGCTGGCCTGTCCTTCCCTCCTGGGCACCCGTCCGCCACACCGCTGCCCACACCACCGGACAAGGAGGAAGCCAGCAAGGAGGACGTCATCTTCTTCTAGGGACACGGCTTGGGTGCAGACCCCTCCCTGTACTGCCCACCCCCCCATGCTCTCTGGGGACCGCGCAGCTGTCCCTGTCCCCTCCCCAAGCAAACCACCACTGACAGCTGCCCGGCCAGGATCTGCATCAGGGCGGGGACAGGGCTGGCCTGTCATCTGGAGGCCCTTTCTGTAGGATTGGTGTTGGTACCTGGGCAACTTTCTAAACCTCTTTTTTTTTTCTCTAATATGAAAAGAAAAGTTCTTAAAGTTTGATCCAGAGTCAAGGCAAGGAGCTGGTTTAGAAAGTCACACCCCATCGGGCAGGGGAGAGATGGACTCCACACCATTTCCAAGCAGGGACCAATGGCAGGGGGTCCCACAGGAGCCTGCTGACAGGCCACTGGAAGACACCGGAGCCCACTGGGGCACCACATGGGGCCGGGTGGTGTCGGCTGTCTGTCGGCAGAGTCAGCTTCCAAAGCAGAGACCTCCATGGGCTCCTGGTGAACCCCAAGGCCAGGCATGAGCTGAGACAAGGGGCCACACCCGGCCTGCCCAGGAGCAGAGGCCACAGGGCAGGGCGGCTGGAGAGGGTGGCCGACGGCACTCCAGGCGGGTTCTGCAGGCCAGACACTCATCCCGGCAGGGGCTCACCACAACTGTGTTAATTGGGTGGAGGTGTATGAAGCCTGCCGTTGCCAAACTCGGTGCTTCCTGAGGCGCCTCACCAAGTCAGCAAGGCTCTGGGGGCCTCGTGGGCACCAGCGTCCTCCAGGCGCTCGACCTGGCGGGGACTGCGACCCAGAGCCTCACCCAGGGCCACCGAGGGTGCTGGCCCCAGACAGAGGACCCTCAGCCCCTGCAAGATGGGAGGAAGCCCCCAGGGCAAGTGTCCCTCCCCAGTGGGCAGATGCGTACAACGCAGAGCAGACCAGTGGTGCCACCACGTGCAGGCAGACGAGGTGAAATGCTGTCAGGTCCCACGTGGCCTGGGGACCTCAAATGGACAGAGGGCCACCCCACTGGTGCCTCACATCCAGTGAGCTTACTGTCGACTTCCCCGGGCATTGAGTGAGGGCACCCCTCTGGCTGTGCAGCTGTATTTTGGGGATAGTGTCAGAGGTTGAACTCTGACCAAGCTCAAGCGTGGGTGCCATTTCTGCCCCCCCACTGACCAGGCGCCCCAAGCCCCCTGCAGCCTTGTTGCGAGGACTGGGTCCCAGGCTGACCGGTCACAGGGGTACTAGCGCCTTCCGTCCTCTCTCAGCCCCGCCACATCAGAGCTCCTCCGTGCCAAGTCTCATCGGTGTTCTGTGTTTTTGTACCGAGTCGTTTCAGAGCACTTTAGGAAAGGTGACTTAAGTTCCTGTCCTGTTGCAAAGAGAACATTCCGGGGCCCCATGCTGCATGATTTTGAGACGGCCACGGACCCCCACCCGTGTGCTCTGTCTGGTCTGACCCTCGGACGATGAGAAGCTGCGGAGGTTTTGCTGGGCCCTGCTTCCTGCCATGCAGCCAAGGGTGTTCTCAGTTGTGCCACGCAGTGGGGCAGCAGCATCGGTTCACCGCACGCCAGCACCTAGACATTGTCCCTGGGTAGAGCCCAGGTTTATGTGTAAAGTTGGTGGCCAAGCAAATATTCTTGTTTCTGTGGGGCCCGCGCATGTCTGTGTTAATTGTGACCGTGACCCTCGTCTACCGTCGTCACAGTGATTGCAGTGTTTCCTCACTGCGGGTTTTTTCAGAACCGCCTTAGAATTTAAGACCTGATTCTAGCAATAAAGGTGTTGAAGATGAGGTGACTGGAGCAGCCGTTCCTTGGGGCTTGGTTCAGGGTCATCTGCCCGAATGTCAGTGCTGGTGTGGTGGGTTTTGTGGGGGCTTCCCTCACCAGGTGGGGCCCCCCTCAGGCCCAGGGCCTGCATGACAACCAGGTCCCAGATGGACCCGGAACGCTAGGAGGCCCCTCGACTGCTGTCATCTCTCCTGCTGGACACAGCCGTCGGGCCCTTGGAAGGGCGGCCACACCACTCCCCTCCCCATGGCTGAAGTGGGGAACACGGGGGCTGGGAACCTCCCAGGCAAGCACCACGCCCCCAGCCATGGTCAGGCCAGCCACCTGCACCCAGGCTTGCCGCGAGTGAGCAAATCCCCCAGGATTGTGCAAAGGGGCCCTGGCCGGTCAGTCTGCTCTGGGCTGAGGAAGCCCCATTCAGTGGTCACGTGGATGTTCCCAGGTGGAGGCAGCAGCGGTGCTGGGGTGGCTGCAGTGGCTCCCCTAGAGAAGCAGCCCCAAAATGAGGCCAAGGTGCAAGGAATGCCAAGTCCTCCCACCCTGGCTGGGTCTCCTGTGTAGGCCCTTGCCCCCGTTGGGGCCCCGCCAGCCTCCAGGCAATTCCCCTACTCCCTGATGGAGCCCGTGCAGCGCGAATGCAGCCTCCATGCCCTGTGGACACGGGAAACCCCTTCAGGCCCAGTTCCCAGGGACTGACTGGCTTCAGCCCCACCTGGAGAGGCCGAGCTGCTGCCCAGGGAAGGGCACCGGGCAGGGGGTGTGGCCACGACGGGCGGGCCACCAGGACTGGGTGGAGGGTCCAAAGTAAAGGCAAGAGCGAGGGGCAGGTGTGGGCTGACCACCGTCTACACACACAGCCACTCTAGTGACAGACTGAGAAACAAATGTGTCCCGTCCTGCTACAGTCTCTGGCAGGAGATGGGGGCCACAGGCGTCCTGACCGCTCCAGCTGCATGGCCAACCTGGCTTGGAGCCCACGAAATGCTCAGACCGGCCCTGAAGAGACAGTGGCAGCCGTGGGTCCAAGGTGGGGCTGAGTGTGAGGTGCTCCAGCCACAGCAAGCCGTCGCATGCCCTGGAGAACGAGACTCCGGCGCAGCCTGGCAGGAGGCAGTCCAAGTGGCTCCATGCCCAGACTGAATGGAGGGACAGCTGCCCTCTCGGCCAAAGGCCTCTCGGGGTCAGCAGACTAGGCTTACGGAGTGGGAGAGGGCCCCCCAGGCCAAGCACATTCCCAAAGGCACACGGGGAAAGAGGGGCAGTTGCCAACTTAAGGAGCTGGACTGGGGCATGCAGCTACACCCCAAGGTGGCACCTGCACCCCATCCCTAAAATCAGGCCCCAGAGAAAGAGGGCAAGGGAGTGGGCCTGCGCATGGGAAGGGCTGGAGCTGGCAAATAAGCTCTCACACTGGGCCTGGCAGCAACTCAGCCGCATTTCATTGACTCATTTTGGCCTACAAAGGCCACTTGACCCAAACCGCCCTGGCTCTGCCGCCTTCATTTGAACACAGGATGCCAGCAGGCAAAGCGAGTTTCTGCCAAGTCTCAGCCTTTTATTGTGCACTTAAGTCCTGGGGTCCTCCCCGACGGGCTGAGCCGGGTGCAAAGGCCCCGGGCCCCACCCCCAGGGGGCTCTGCCTGCCCCACAAGCTGCCCACCCTGGGCTCGGGCTGCAGGCTGCCTCCGGCATTCTCTGGGTTGCATTTCCCTACATCTGGCATCAATTCGCTCAATTAGACCCAGCCCCCATCCCTGTGATTTCTGCTTTGTGGGGAGCAGCCCTCCATCGGGGTTCCTGCTGCACCCTCATGCCCGAGGGCTGTCATGGGGTGGTGATGTCTGCCTGGCCACCAGCCCGGACTGCCTGGTACACGCTGAGGAGGGAAGAGACAGTACCCAGGAGGCCCACCAGCCATGGGGGGAAGCAGCCGGCCCACAGGATGCCCTGGGGAAGCCAGTGTATGGCGTTGGCCAGGTCAGCCACGTTGCTCAGCAGTGTTAGCACCTCAGCCTGGACCTGGGCCTCCATGGCCCTGCGCTTGCTCCTGGGCAGCCGGCTGTCAGAGCAAAAAGGAGACACCCAGGGAAGGGTGTGTGCCCACACCTACCCACACAGGCACGCAGACGGAGACGGATGACAACAGGCCTGCTTGTGAGTGAGGATTGGTGGGGTGGAGGTGGCTGTCCCCAACCACTCCTGACCCTTCCACTGGAACTGCGTCCCTGCCACCCCTCCCCACTCCAAACAGAGCCCATGGCGTGAACAGGGCACACCCAGCATGGAAAGTCCCTAAACCACACCTCAGTCCCCCTGAATCCCTGGAGACAGACAGGCAGGGAGAGGGGAGAGGGTTGCCTGGGGCAAGTTCCAGACCTGTGCCAGGCAGGGCTTTCCCCCAGCTCTTTCCAGGGATGTGAGGGTGACGGTGACCAGGAAACTGACTCTCCCATCAGCCTCCTGCAGGGGGCGCAGCCAGGAAGGCTCAGCCCTGGAGTCTTGGCTCTACCACTTCCTGCCTACAGGACCTCAAGCAAGCCTGTCTCCCCATCCGTACCACCCCTGGAGCCCCAGGCCCGGCCAGCTGGAGGAAGTCAGCCTTCCTCATAGGGGAACCCTGGAGGTCATACCTGGTGAGGGCCCCCGTGGGGCTCCTCAGCCTCTGTCTCAGCTTCAGAACCATCCACAGGGACCTGCAACACCAGAGAGGATAGGAGGACACCCTCTGGAGGGGCAGGAGAAGGAGGGGGCACAGGAGTTAGCCGCCAATGCTGGCCCGAAGGGAGGCTCGGCCACTGTGGCCACAGGGTCCCTGTCAAGGTTCCCGAGCTCTCCAAGCGGCTCACACCATCCTGAGCCCTCCCAGAGCTCCAGGCCTGGCTGTGCCTCTGAAGTTCCTGGGGACTTGTTCACAGTTGCGACCCTGACCTTCCCAGGCCATCGGCACCAGTGCACAGCTTCACCTGCAAACCACCAACCAAGGGCCGCAGCTCAAAGGAGCATCGTGCCACACTGGGTGCTGTTGGCCCAGCCTATCTCTACATGAGGACACCAGGCTGGCCCACAGCTGGACTGGCCTGGGGAAGCCGTTTCCCGCCCTGCCCCGTGGCTGGCTCACCAGGTAAATGTGGTCCAAATAGGCACCATGTCCTTGGTCCCCTCCACCCCAAACACACACACACCCTACACACTGGCCTGGCCTGTCTGAGGTGAGTTGGGACAGCTCTCTGGGCCTGGAGGGCAGGCATCTGCAGGCAGAGGAAGCAGGCAGCAGGCGGGCAGCCTCTGCTGCTCCCAGGGCACTCAGGGGCCCTGCACGATGCCCCCCAGGCTGACCTCTTGGCCCTGTGGCCTAGGAAAGTGGGTACAGGGATGTGTCGAGTTCTGCCCGTTGAAGGGCTGCCCTCAGCCAGACTTCACAACTGGGAGAGTCAGGGCCAGCCACCATGTACCCGTCCTCAGGGACACAGGGTGACACCTGCAGCAAGGGAAAGGGGTCTGTGTCAGAACCCCCTGGGGAACTAGGGCAAAATGCCGATTCCTGGATCCCGGGTCCCCAGACCAGTGGAATTGGAACCTCTAGGCACCTGGCCTGGGCATCTGCATCTCAACAACCTCCCCGGGAGATTCTCCAGCACCCTGAGGTCTTAACCAGCACACACCAAACACTCCCGCTCCCCACCCTTGCTCACACCAAATACAGAGAAATGAATGGAATAACAGCTGGTCAGAGGGTTTCCACAGCATAAAGACACTCTGCGTAATACTGTGATGTGGACACATGTCAAACATTTATCCAAACCCATTGAAAATACAAACCGGAGCGACCCCTAATGCAACAATGGCCTTGGGGTGATCCATGTGGTGGGAATGCTGATGGTCTGGGAGGTGGAACGGGGTGGCAGTGGGGCACGGGGTGGCACCGAGGGATGGAATATATCAGTGTTGCTGTGAACTTAGAACTGTCTTAAAAAATAAAGCCTATTTTTAAACATCAGCAGAACCAAGGCTGCCCCTAAAACAGGAACGTGAGGCACTGAGAAGCCAAGAGCCACGGCCCCCTGGGAGGGGCAGCCTCAGCCCACTGGCCACCAGGGTCCCCGGGCGCACAGGGAAGGCCAGTGCCAGGCCAGACAGAATGTCCAGAGCCACAGAGTCCGTGACCATGAGGGACGCTGAACTCAACAAAGAGCCGCGTCTGTGAAGCAGGACCAGAGAGCCCGGTGAAGGCACGTCGGCAGCGTGTGAGATCGAAGCCTGGGAGGGATCGCCAAGCACAGAGGGGGGATCGCTGGGGCGGACTGGGGGCTGCCAGAAGCTTCCCCTTTGGGGTTTGCTCATTTTCCAGACCATCTCCAATATGTGGATTTAGAACATTGAATGGGAGGCAAACAAGGGCGACTGAGGGTCAGTGTCCTATGCAGGGACAAGGGACGGCGGACGTGACGCTGCCCGCCCACCTCCCCGCCGGGATCTGGGAGACCTCGGCTGCCGTGGGAGGCCGGCTCCCCCGAGGCTTTCCGGGGCAGGAGACTCTGAGCAAACCTAAGCAGCCAATGTGCAGAGAGGAAAATGTTTGGGAGGAAACCATCACTTTAAAGCTCTAGGAACCATACGGTTTTCGGAAGCTTGGAGCCAGGCAGGAGACTCCTGGCTATTTTATCAGGGGATGTTTGCTGATGAAACGCCAGCAGCGCTCAGGGACCCTGGGAAAGGCCACCACATCGGTCACTTCTGTCCAGGCCCCAGTGTGCTGTCTTCTTCCTGGGCCTGGTGGGTGCTGCCATGGCCTCCAAAGGTGTCCACGTCCTAATCCCCAGGACCTGTGAGTATCCCCCTTACACAGCAAAAAGGACTTTGCAGATAGGATTGAGGTAAGTGTCTTGAGATGGGAGATGATCCGGAGGGTCCTCATAACAGGGAGACAGGAGGGTCAGAGTCAGAGGAGGCGGAAGCAGAGGACGGAGGGATGCAATTCAAAGATGGAGGCAGGGCCGTGAGCCAAGGGACACGGGTGCCCCCTAGAAGCTGGACAAGGCGGGGAACAGGCCTGGAGGTTCCAGAAGGCCCTGCCGATGCCTCAATTTCAGCCCAATAAGACCCATTTTGGACTTCTGACCTCCAGAACTATTAAGATCGTCAGTTGTATTGTTCAAAGCCACCAAGTTTTGTGGCAGTCTGTCACAGCAGCCACAGGGGACAGATACAGCAAGGTGGCCACAAGGGGCAGAGGCCCACACACTCTGGGGTGTGGCAGATGGGCCCTGGGATCTCAGTGCTCCCCACAGCCTGCTGGCGGATGGCAAAGCCGCTTACCTGGCAATCCCCAGGAGCAGGGAGAGGCCCCAGAAGGCCGTGCTCAGTGTCCACCACCGAGCAGAGTCCACGGAGAGGATCTTGGCATCAGCAGCCCAGGCCATGTGCTCACAGGGGTAGTAGAGCTGGTCAGCTAGGTTGCCCAGGACAGACACACAGCGCACAAAGATGTCCTCCTCCTGCAGGGCCAGGAGAGAGAGGGGATTGGGCCTGGGGTCAGACTGGCCCACTGCTCACTTGAGGGGCACAGGCCAGGCCAGGTTGTGGCTGGCCTCTGCAGAGACAAGAGGCCTGGTTTCTGCTTCTCAGCAGTGTGGCCATGATGGCCCGGTGGGGTGTTGGGTCTCGCCTATGCTGCTCAGGGGCATCCCTGCGGAGCTACAAAATCCCAGGGATCCTACCTCACTAGGTCTGGGGTGGGCTGTGATCCCGCCTCCCTCTGGGCTTTGAATCACACTCCAGCTCCCCCATCCTGCCTGGGACTTTCTGGTGCGTTCTGGAACATTTTGCCCCTCCATTAGGATAGGGCCCCCGCCACCACCCCAATGTGTGCACCCCCCTGGTGTTTCCTGAGAAGCAGAGATGTCTGAGCCCTGCGCTGCAGACACACAGGGCAGGGGGACACACAGACAGGAGACCCAACACATGGGGTCTTCTTCTGGCCAAGGGACATACGAGGTACAAAAGGCCTCCCACCCTCTTCCAGGGGCCTCAAGGGAGTCTTCTTTCGCAAAGGAGATGTTGGAGGGGATGGGATAGCCCTTCAGGGATGCATGGGAAGCGTGCCCTTATCAAAGGGTAGGGGATGGGTGTCAAAACAGGAGGAAGGTCCAGGGAAACACTTGGGATTTGAGATGACTGGATGGATCATGGACACTGGGGCAGAGTGGGGCGCATCTGAGCAACGAGTGGCTCTGAGAGGAGACCCCTGGGAGGACAGCCGAGGGAGGGCATGAGTCAGTCAAGCTGGCATCCCCTGGGCAGACAGGATCGCCCTTGAAGCAATGCTCTGGACCTACCGGCACTCCTGTGGGATGATGCAGTGGTGTTATAACAGGAAACAAGAAATTGTATCAATAATCTACACATCCATCGACAGGGGATCAGTGAAACAAATCAACGTCTGGCTATATAGCAGAGTACTAAGTGGCCATAAAGAAGACAGGAGCTCTTTGTGCTATGGAGTGACCTCCCAGCTGTACTGTGAAGTGCAAAAGCCAAGCGGCCGAACAGCGTGAATGGCCCACAACTATCTGTGTAAACCATGTGTATTCGCTGTGCAGGCACAGGCTATCTCATGAGGAAAATGCAGGAAGCTGACAACGTTGACTGCCTCTGGGGGCCAGAGGATCATGCAAAGGAGAGATCTTTTTAATTATATAATCTTTGGGAAATGTGCAAATGTATACGTTTTTTTAATTTAAATTACAATGAGAACATTTGATCATCTCAAAAAGGAAAGTAAAATTGAAAAAAAAAGTAAAAAACTGAAAGGAAAGGAAAGTTGAAAAAAGTTATAAACTGTCCACACAAGTTGCCTTCAGATAAGGCAAAAAAATGCCGACCGCCCGGGGTCTGCACCCCCGCCCTACAGCCCCCCCATTACCTCTGCCCCCAGGCCATACTGCTTAGTGTAGATAAACATGGCTGCATCGTCAAAGAGTCGCAGGACGGTCCTGCAGCGGCTCAGCTGGGAGGACAGTTCCAGCAGGCGTGTCCCCACATCTGACCTGGCCGGACACCGGACCACCAGGGCCCCGCCGACCAGCTGGCAGCAGTAGCTGAGTGTGCGGATCTGTGGGAAACCAGAGGCAGTCAGCCCCGCCCTGCTCCTGGACGGACCCGGATCACCCCCCACCTGGCCGTGGGCCCCATGGGACCAGGTGGGGGGAGAGTCTAAACCAAAATACAATTCTAATAAAAGCTGAAAGTTTAAAGAGATCCCTGTAGGTGGAATCAATGGAAAGACAGGACATCAATGTCCAAAAGGCACTGTGGAGACGCTAACAGAGCTGGCTCATGTCACAGAGGGCCACAGCCTTCGGAGACACATGTGACAGAGACAAAAAAAAAAATACAGAACCCCCATTTCCCACTTCCTGGTTCCTCCTTTTCTCAGCAGGCTGGAGGACTAGGCGGGAATGTACATTTGCAGCTACCTGGCTGGACCAAAGTTCATGACTGAGCTGGGGAGTGGGGAGATGATCGGGGTTCAGCCAGTGGACAAAGGGATGATTTGCTTGAATTACTATCGTGAGAAGGAACCCACTCAGTGGGTGATTTGGGGTATTCAACACCCTTCCCTCTTTATATTTCGTCCGTTTTTTTTAAATTGCTTTTTCCTGTTGTTTTATTCATTATTTTTACTTGTAATTCCTTTCCAGCCTCTTTGTAAGGAAAAAACGCTGCACTTTAAATGCCCAGTTGTAGGGGATTTGGCTGGAACCTAATTGCCCTGCCACCAGTACATTCCCTGGTACAACCTGAACGCCCACCTGTTTAAGAGACTGGCTGGGACGAGCGGACAGTTTGCCTTCTGGGGGATGGATGGAGTAAACCTAAATGTCCAACCCAAGAGGATGTGGTCCAGCTGTAAGGGAAGCCCTACATAATCCCGCATCCCCATAGGAGACTGTTGGGGACAACCCAGCAACCAACTACAGTGACTCAGTGAAATCCTAAATGTTCAAACATGGGGATTTGGTTGCCATGTAAATGGCCTGCCCTATTGAATTGGCTGAAACAACCTATATGCCCAACCATAAGGGATTTGATGGCAACCTGAATGTCCAGCCACAGGGGTAGTACTGAGACATCGTAAATCCCCATGAGATTGTTTGGGACAACCCAGTGGCCATCTTCAGTGGTACGGCAGGATCTGCTCGGTAGTGCAAATACCCTGCCACACTGGGTTAGCAGAAACAACTAACACGTCCCCAGCTGGAGGACAGGGCCTCTGCGATGGGGGATTCTGAGCGACCCCGCCCCTGGTTGGCCTCACTTTCCCCGCCTCACCAGGCGGTCCCGGCCCCTGTACGACTCCAGCGCCGATACGAGGCCGCTCAGCGCGGCCATGGCAACTCCGCCGTGACGTCACCGCGCGCCGGCGTCCTCTCACGGGACGTGGCCTATAGGCCACACCTCCCACCTGGTAGCGTTCTGCGCAAGCGCCGCCGCAACGCTTTGTACCCCCCATCGGGCTCACTGTCCGCTGCGGCGGGCCCAGGGTTTGTAGCTGCGCCGCCGCCACGTGTGCGCTTCCCTCTTCGGGCCTGTGCACCCAGGACGGTACTGCCCCACAGAGGCGCAGAAAAGAAGAGTCCACAAAAACGATATCCCAAGCAAAAGCCTCATCCTGGTGGCTCTGCTTCAGGGAGGGCCATTTTCATTTTCATTTCTCTGCCTCACCCTTTCTGCAGTGTCTGCTTGTCTGCGTGGTGCACGTGTATGACTGTTGTAATACTGTATAAGGCATTTGTAGTGAGTGAAGGAAACTCATAGAATAGACGAGAATCTGGTAACCGGAGTTAAGCTCCAGAGAGAGTAACTGGGTGGCTGGAAAGGGGATTCGATTGTTCACCTTTGTCCCACTTTGTAGCTTTTCATTCTTCCAGTTCTATTGGGATATAATTGACATAACTCACTGTGCGTGTTTCAGGTGTACAGTGTAAAGATTTGACAACATATTTTGTGAAATTATTACCACACTAAGTTAACATCCATCACCTCATGATTTTGTAGCTTTGGAATTTTGCAACACGCCTCTGTTATCTAATCAAAGAAGTCAAAAGTATTCAAAAGGGAACATGACCAGTTTCCTTTTTTTTTTTCTTTAATTGAGGTAAAATTCATTTAACATGAAATTCACCATTTTAAGGTGTGCAATTCAGTGACAGTTAGTACACCTACGTCAAAAAATGTTTCTAGTTTCAAAACATTTTTATTACCCTGGAAGGGGACCCTGTTTGAAGCCATCCCTCCGTCCCTTCCACCACCACCACCACCACCCCGCAACCCCTGCCAGCCACCATCTGCTTTCTGTCTCTACACATTTGCCAATTCCATACATTTCCCATAAATGGAATCCTCTACTATGTGACCAGCTGTGTCCAGCTTCTTTCACTTAGCATGATGTTTTTGAGGTTCATCCATATTATCGGTTACATCAGTCTTTCATTCCTTTCGTGGCTAAATAATATTCAATAGCATGGGTGGGATTTTGTTCCACATTGTGTTTACCTGTTGATCAGCTGATGGCCGCTTGGGTTGTTTGCATCTTTGACTGTTGTGAATGGTACTGCTGTGACCATGGGTGTGCGTGGACTGTTCCAGGGCCTGCGTTCACTTCCTCTGGGGAAATATCTCAAAGTGAAATCGAAATTGCTGTATCATCTGGTAACTGTGTTTGACTTTTTGAGGAACCGCCAGACTGTTTTCCACAGTGGGTACACCATTTCACATTCCCACCAGCAAAACACAAAATTCTCCACATTCTTGCCAACACTTTTTTGTTGTTATTGTTGTTATGGCCTCCTACTGGGGGTAAAGTGGTATCTCACTATAACTTTGTTTTGCATTTTCCTAATGACATTGACTGGTGGCCTTTTGCAAAATATTTCCCTTGAATTTCAACTCCTGTTATTCTTCCTGCCTCATTCACTCCTGTCCAGCCACCTTGCCTTCCTCCTGTCCCTTGAAGTTGCAGGGCCTTGGCATTCGCTGTTCTCGCTGCCTGGAATGCTCTTCCCCGTGGCTCCCTGGCTGACCTCCCTGCGTTCTCACCACGCTCTCCCAGACACTTCCAAACCACACTTCCTGCTGCCTTGTTTTTCTCCTTAGCATGTCCCATTAACACAATTGTGTATTTTGCTTCTTTAGTTGCCTGGTTTTTTGTTAAGTTATCTAGTTATTTGTCTCTCCTAGACAGAACATAGACCCTGCCAAGGGCAGAGATTTTGATCTGTCTTGACCAAAGCTACATCCCCACAGCCTAGCACAAAATAGGTGCTCAGTAAGTACCATCCCCAGGGCCCAGCTCTCGCTCATGGTCCATCCACACTGTCCAAGGGAAACCTGGTCCACTGCCATGACTTCCTGAGCCACTTCTTCACTGGCCTGTCCCTCATGTCTCTCCAATCCTGTCTCCTGCTCCCACCTACCTCCTGACCATTTCCCCTGCACATCCCATGATGCCCCCATGCTCAGGAGGTCCCAGCTAACAGCATCATCGCAAACACCTTGCTCTCTGGTGTCTCCATCTCCTGGCTGCCCCACCAATCACCAGGCCACTCGGCACACCCCTGGACCTCATGCTCACCCCTTCCTCTCCACACATCCCAGTGGTCACCAACATATCCCTTGAATTCACCCACTTTTTCCCAGCCGGCAGCCCCTCCACCGGGAGCCCCCACTCTCTTGTGCCTGGACCTCAAGCCCCTGCCTTCCCCACCGCATCCCAAGAGCATCTTTAACCTTCACATCAGACCGCAGCCCTCCTTGCTTAAGACTTGGATGCAGTGTCTCTGTGCACCCCCACCCCGAGCTCTGGGCTCTGTTCCCGCAGCAGAAAAAATCCAAGTCCAGCCCAAGGCCTGCAGAAGGAAGGGGACCTCGGGCTGCGTAAGTGACTGGATCCTTTCTCTCGAGCCTCTGCTATCCCCAGCAGCCTGGTAACAGCACAGTGCATTTCTCTGTGTGCCAGGCCCCGTGCTGGGCACCAAGCACAGAGCAGTGTGCCTGGGGGGAGGCACCGACCAGCCCTCCCCATCATTCTCCACCGCCCTGCTAGGGCTGAGCTTGACCTTTGAGAAAGAGACAGGCGCTGGCCTGCCATTCACAGCTGACTTTGTTGTTGCTAGGCGCTGACCTGGCAGTCACAGCTAGGCCCTGGTGTTCATCTGCAGGACATAAATAATTTCGCAGAATGCCAACATCAGACAAGGCCACTCTGTGACCGTGGTGGAACAAGACAAAACAAGCTCACTCCATAATCGTGTCTGAACACAGGCAAAACATGAACCCAGTCGGAACCACAACATTGTGCAGACGTTTGCTTTTCCTGGCCGATCTGAGCGACTGCGCTTCATTTTACAGAGCACAGGTTTATTCCTGCTTCATTCCTTGGACTTCTTGATAAAAATTATGAAGATCTTCAATGATAGAATAATCACCTCTCCCCCTTGCTCCCTGAGAGCATGCAGGATCCACCTTCCGGATACCCCTTGCCCCAGTGTGCTGGAGGTCAAGGCTCAAATGTGTATTTGCATCAACCTGGCTGCGCCAAAGCCCTCAGCTGGGCTCTGGCTGGGGAGCAGGTGAATGGGGCTCCACGCAGTGGACAAAACCCCAATTCGCTTGAATTTCCTGAGAAGGAACCCACTCATTAAATCAGTCCTGGGGGCCGAAACACAGTGCAGGGATTATACGCAACAAAGCTGTATGAGAAAGTTTAAACTGGCTCAGAGATTAGATTTTAATTGTCCCCACCACAAGAAATAATAACATGACGTGACAAGAGATGTTAGCTAATGCTATGGTGGCACTTGTATTGCAATATAAAATAAATAAAAATCAATTCAGTATGTTGTACACATCACACCTGTACAATGTTACCCATCCATTATATTGCAATTTAAAAAAAGGAATCCTTTCAGGAGATGATTGGGGTTATCATGAACGATGAAGGCTCACCACCCTTAGATCTTTGTTTCATCTAATTTTTTTTAGGAAATTGCATTTCTTTAAAAAAAATTATGTATTATGAAAGGTATCTTGAAAAACCGAATTTAATCTTAACCATTTCTTTCAGTGTCCAGTCTAGCGGCATTAAGTACATTCACATTGCTGGGCAACCATCCCCACCATCCATTTCCAGAACATTCTCATCTCCCTGAACTGAAATTCCGTCCCCATGAAACACTGACTCCCCAGCCCCTTTCCTGTTGTTTCAGACATTATTTGTATTTGTCAGATCACCTCAAAAAAGAAAGTCAAAGTTCCAGCCAGTGAAAGCATCCCCCGTAGAGCACAGCCCCATTTCTGTACGCCTCCCCAGAAGCACCGAAGGCAAACCAGGTCTGGTCAGTCTTTCCTCTCATCCGCCTGAGATGCACACTTCCCTGTGCTGTGCACACACTCCCTTGCTGCCGTCACTAATAAGCCTGGATTTGCTCGACAGCAGGTGTGTTTCTGATGGTCTTGGAGCTGGGAAAGCACTGATATCTTTAAGGAAACCTTGGAGGTCTGTGAGCCCTGGAGTGACATTAAGTGGTGCAGGAGCTCAGAGAGGTTTCTCTGTCCTGTGTGGGGAGTGTTAGGAAGCAGAGAGCAGGAAAAGTCAGACACCAGCAGCCTAGTGCATCACACCCTCATTATTGCTCATGTCCTGACGTGAGAACCATCCTCAGCCCCATTTTCCAGATGACAAAGTCAGACTGCGAGAAGTCAAGTCACTTGCCAAGCTCCCTCGAGCTCTTGGAAGGCAGGATCCTCTGGGCTGGCTCCTTATGTCGCTCCCGGCTGCCCCGAGAGTTGCTAGGGGACCACTGTGACAGCGTTATCCGGGGAATTCCTTTGGGTCGCAATGGACAGGTCTGGTCCACACTCAGACGCAGCCATGGAAGGAACACGTGAGCGTCCTCTAGGACACTGGGGACAGAGGGACTCTCAAGGGTCAGGCTGGTTGCCAAGTGCCTTCTCTAAAATGAATTAGCCTCATGCCAGCCTTTGAGGTAAGTACGTGGTCCTCATTCATCTGTCTTATGGGAACTGAAGCTCAGAGGAGCCTACTTGCTTATTCCAAGGGAACTCAGCTAGTAATTTCAGGTCTCAGATTCTCTCATAAGCTATTTGAAGTCTTCTCAACTCTCAACCATTTTAGGTGGCAAAAAAAATCAAAAAGGTAAACTTAGACCCTGAAAAGCTGTGGTTTCATTAAAACCCTCAATGTGTGTTTTCTAAAAAAGTCGACATGAGCCAGTAGTTGTGGGCTGCAGTGATCTGGGAGGGCTTCCTGAAGGAGGCAAGCCCCAGCCAGGATCACTGGTGGCTCCAAAGAGGCTGCTGTCTGGGTGCCCAGGGAGGAGGGTGGTGGAGACACCTCTGCTCTGACCAAAGATAAGAAAGTCCCAATCAGCTAAGTGTGGTGCTGGGAGCCTGGAGCTGAAGGTCAGAGAATGGAGTGGGAGGTGTGTGAACCTCAGAGAGCTTGGAGGGGTGAGGGCAGGGTGTCCAGAAGAATAGTCAGAGCCCAGGACAATTGCAGAGGGCAGAAAGACCAGTGAGGAGGTGTGTGGCAGGAATAGGACAGTGGCCAGGGTTGGGCAGAGACAAAGTGGATTCCCAGATGCAGATAGGACAGCCATGACCTTGACAACTAAGTGTATCACACAAACTGGAGAATGTTGCAGTGGTTAATTCTGTAGCTCTCCCCAGTACTCACTCTGCACCAGCCTCAGGGCCTTTGCACCTGCTGTTCCTTTTGCCTGGAATGCTCCCAAATGCCCCTTCCCACCTTCTCAGCTCTTTGCTCACCTGTGGTCTCAGTGACTCCTTCCCTGACCACCCTATTTAAAACTGCAACCCTCACACCCTCACACCAACCTCCCACCCTGTATGACACTTTACCCACAGCCCTCAGCACCTTCATAGTCTGCAATTTAGGTTATTGTATTTATTCATGATTGCCTGTCGCCTGCCTGCCCCACTGTCAACTCCACAAGGGCAGGGCTCTTGTGCTGTTTTGTTAACTGACGTCTGCCTAGAACAGTGCCTGGCACTCAGTAAGTGCCAAAGGAATGGTATTAACATCTCTCCTTTCCCCGGGTGCAGGCACGGGGGCTGCGCCTGTTCCTTAGGATGCCCTCGGCTCGGAGCCCACAGGAAGTCTGCAGTGTGCTCAGTCCCGTTATCTCTGACCCCTCGCAGGTGACGCCATGTCCCACGAAG